GGTGCAAGGTGCACAGACCCTGGGACCCCGGGGAAGAGACGACGCTGCCCCTGCATTTGGCACCTGCTGCCCAGGCCTCTGCTGGCCCACAGGCCCACAGGGGCATCCGTTTGTCATCACATTCAGAGAGAGATTTCCTTGTTTCTCATCCAGCTCTTCATTTAACTCTTCCTCTGAGCCTGGTGCAGATCGGGGGAACTGTACCTTGTTCTGTGCTTGGCACACCCATCCTCCCTGTCACTTTACCCAGCACCTACGTCCGGGTGCTGAGTTCAGGCTTCTTGTGAGTTCTGAACCCATCTGAATGGTCTCCCAACAGACTCCTCCTGCGTGCCCCTCCCACCTCTCAGCCCAGCCTGTAGAAAATGCAGGGCTGACTCCTGTCTCCTCCTTGCCTAGATAAGGTCACACCCTTCCTGGTCACCCCAACTTTGGCTGTGGTTTCCCCCAGGGGACTGGTTCACTCCATCACCCTGCCAGCCCAGCGGCCCCCTACTTTCAGGATTTCTCCTCCCCAGTCCTCCATCCACAGCCTTCTGGTGCTTTTCTTACTGGGACCCCTGGGACCCTGGGGTGCCCCTGAGGAAGGTCACTGATTGGGAGGTTGTGCTGCTAGGTCCTGCCTCTGTGGAGAAGTTCGACTCCACCTGTTCTGTATGCTGGAACTCAGTGGGACATTTCCCAGGCGGAGGAGCATGGTCAGGGTGCTGGGTCTCTCTGGGAGGGGCATCCTCAGTTCCCCATCTCCACTCACACCTGCAGCCTCACTCACCCGCCTGGCCCTGCCCACCTCTCCCACGTGCCTGCCCAGACGAACCACCCCCAGCACTCCCTCCCAGGGACCAGCATATTGCCTCTGGGTTTCCATCCGTAGCTGGCATTTGTACAGCACTTGGAACATTCCAGAAAACTGAAATGTACCTGCTTCTCACGCTATCCCCTGAAACACCAGTGGCCACAGTTAAGTTCATCTAGACACCCCACCCGTGACTCCTGTGGTGGGTCAGGATGGGGTGTTCCAGCTCAGCGGGGAGACAGCCATGCAGACTGTGTCAGTCACTGACCAGGCAGGGCAGAGCTCGCTCCTGGGAAGGGAGCCCACCCGAGGTTTTGCCTCAGGCCATAACACCAACAGCAAGGGCGTGGAGCTGCCGCTCGGGGTGTCCCAGACCCTCCAAGCTTCACCTGTCTCCCTTCACATTATCCTCATGCTGCCTCTTAAGGTGGGGTGACTGATTATTCCTTGCATGCTTGGGGGGAAGCTGAGGCTCAGGGTGGTTTCATGTCGGATGCAAGTCCCACTGTCGGTGCCACAGCCACAATTCTAGCCCAGTTCTAACTCCCCGTCCCCACCTCCGGCCGGCCCTTTCGGCTGGGACCCAGGGGACAGCAGTTCATTCACAGGGTCCTAAAGCTGTAGCTGTGCTGAGGCCTCTCAGGTCTGGGAGAGACGCTAAGCGCTTTTGAGGAAAAGGATAGAAATCCTGATTCCTCAATTTCCAGAGGCTCTGCTCAGTCAAGGAATTGTGGGGCAAGTGGCCCTGTAGAGGCCACGGCCCAGTAGAGTCACCCCCTTGGGTGTCCTGCCAAGTGTGGGACCCAAGACTGGCTTCTGCCCTCCTCAGCTGGAGCCCTGCCCCTGCCTACCCTCTGTGGTCAGCTATACATCGTTCAAGGGCTGCTTCCTGGGCCTTCTGAGGCTGGAGTGAGGTCGTCCCCACTGGCCCTCTCACCTTGGGGTCCATGGCTGACTCCCTCCTGTGCACCCACACATTCAGGGCCCAGGTCCCCGTGGCTGCTGTGAAGATCATTTCATCAGAGAAGTGGAAACTGTCCTGTTAGGCACTCTTAGGAATGGGGTGCACAGCACCCAAATGTCAGGCAGGCCACGCTTCTTCCCCACTGTATGCTCAGCTGCATGTCCTTAACTGCATCCCCATGTGCCCAGGAGACCGTGGACTGTAGAGGCAGCACCTCCAACCAAAAAAATCACCTGCGCATGAGGTTTCTGGCTGTCATCCCTTCTGCCCCTCACCTGGATCCAGAGAGGCTTGGGTGGAAGCCACGCCAAGGCAGTTGCAGGGCAGAGGTGGGAAGGGCCCCTCCCAGACCGGTAGGTGGTACAGCCTGAGTAAGTGGGTGCTCATAGCGACAAAGCCGTGGCCCCTACAGAGCTGGTGCCCCACCTCTGAGCCATCCTCAGAAACCATGGCTGTGGAAGAAATGGCAAGAGAGAGCATGGATTTTGAAAGGCAGAGGCTGCCGAGAGACCTCATTCAAAATGTGAAGAGAATCAGTCTCCATTAAACTAAAAAGCCTCTGCACGGTGCAGGAAACAAGAAAACAAAAAGGCAGCCTCTACGGGAGAAGAAACTCACAAATGACATAGCTGGTAACGGCTAACATCCAAAACGTATGAAGAACTCATACAACCCAATACCGAAAAAACAAACTCCGATTAAAAAGTGGGCAGAAGACCTGGACATTTTTTCAAAGAAGACATGCGGATGGCCAACAGACCCATGAAAAGGTGCTCAGCATCACTGATTATCACAGAAATGCAAATCAGAACCACGATGAGATATCCCCACATGCTGGTCAGAATGGTTGATATCAACAAGACAAGAAATAAGCGTTGGCGAGGATGTGGAGGAGAGAGAACCCTTGTGCACTGTTGGTGGGAGTGTAAACTGGTGCAGCTAATGTGGGAAAACAGTGTGGAGGTTCTTTAAAAAATTCAAAATAACCATATGATCCAGCAATCCCATTCCTGGGCATTTACCCAAAGAAAATGAAGACACTAATTTGAAAAGACATATGCACCCCCATGTTCATGGCAGCATAATTTACACGTAGCCAAATACGGAGGCTACCTAAGTGTGCATTAACAGATGAATGGGTAAAGAAGAGGTGGTACGCACATACGATGGAATACTACTCACCCATAAAAAAGAATGAAATTTTCCCATTTGTTACAACATGGACGGACCTAGAGGGCATTATGCTAAGTGAAATAAGTCATATAGAAAAAGACAAATTCTGTATGATCTCACTTATGTATGAAATCTAAAAAAACAACAAATGAACAAACAGAACAAAACAAATGAACTCAAAGACAGAACAAGTGATGGTTGCCAGAGGGGAAGGAGAGTGGGTGGGATGGAAGAAATAGGTGAAAGGGATGAAGAGGTACAAACTTCCAGTTATAAAATAAACAAACCTGGGATACAATGTACAGCATAGGGAATATAGTATATAGTCGGTAATATTGTAGAAACTTTGCTCGATGACAAATGGTAACTAGATTTATCATGGTGATAATTTCATAATGTTTATAGACACTGAACCACTGTGTTGTACACCTGAAACTAATGTAATATTGCATGTCAGTTATACTCAGTTAGCAATTTATAAAACAATGTAAAGAGGGTCAGAGTCCCACAGAGATGCCAGAGAAGCAATGTCCGAGCTGGCGGGGTGGCACGGTGGGGGCCGGGGGTGGATGAGGTGGTGAGGGCAGGACAGTTTGGACTAATTGGCAACTATCTTTCTCCTTTTTGGTTTCCTCATAAAGGCCAGTAAATGAGAATGTTCATCTTCTTGGAGACATGCAATGGCACCGTCACTGGTACCAGACCCAAACTGACCAGCCCGTCTGTGCTGGCCAATGCCAGCTGCATAGAGCGACTTAGCTGCCTTGAGCCACTCATTGCCATGTAGGCCCACTACCCTTTTTATAAATAAAGTTTTACTGGAACAGAGCCACACACACTCGTTTCTGTATCGTCTGTGGCTGTTTTCATGCTACAATGGCAGAGTTGAGCAGCAGGGGCAGAGACCTAATGGCCTGCAAGCCTGAAATATTTATTATCTGGCCCTTTACAGAAAACAGCTATTTACCAACTCCTGCTTTAAACTGTTCTTTGGCAATATTGAACTTTCTATTATTAAAGAGTTAGTATACCAATCAAGTGGTATTTCACATGCAAAACCCGTAGTTTAGAAACAGGCCCACTTTTCAGATGTGGAAGTAAGAGTTCCGCAGTTTGTAATCAGCTGTGGCCCCAAGCATGTCTCTTAGGTGACTGACCGGAGTGTGATGCCGGCTTCGGTGGGGTGGTGTTTGGGATGGAGAGCTGGAGGCCATGCAGAGAGGAAGTGCCCATGGGAATTTGGTTTCCACAACCTCAGGTTAAAGGAAAGAGCTTTTGCAGCAGCTGCAGTCCCAGATGTGCCAACATCTGGCTGGGGCTACAGGTACACTAGCATTTTCTAGCTAATTAGGTGCTGACACGTGCTGTGTTTCGATGGTACTTGGTATTATACAGTAATATTCCCAGGAGAGGATGGAAAATTCCATCCAGTGCATTTTTCTCAGGAATGCATCACTAGCCTGTGACCTGGTCAGGAGGGGAGGGGCCTGAGCAGGTCTGCCGAGGCTGCATCTAATCCACAGTGCCAGTCACGGCCAGGGAGGATGCCCACCTTTCATTAAGCAGCAGGAGCATGTTATTTTAGTGTAAGGAAGTTCAGTCGTTCCACGCCCGTGTGTTCTGGTGATCTGCACAATGTGTCAGCATGCGGAGATGGATCAAGTTCATCTAAAGACCTTGTAACTTCTTTCATCACATTTTAGGTGTTACTCCATAAATTAAATTTTCTGGTCAGTACATTCTTCTATGACTTTAGAATAGATTGATGTTTTGTGGTCTTGGTAAAGAAAATTGCATTTAGAAGTTTTAAAATTTAACATTCTTTCTGTTTTTTTTTTTCACAGGATCAGGTAATGTTTTACAAAACTCTAAAATAATCATCACTTTCACCCTTGACTCTGAACTTGAGAATGTACTGTTTATAAAGTGTGGACAGTTTTAGTCTAGATTCCAGACTGGTAAGACCATGTGGTCCCAAGAGTCTGACCATGCCAGGCAGGGCCGGCTGGACGTCTTTGGCATAAACATCAAACAACCCTTCCTTCTCAATGTCTCTCCCTTTCTTAGCCCTCAAGTCTGGATGACAGAAGGGGCAGCCGTCCCCGGTCCATGGTCCGGTCCTTCACGATGCCTGCCTCCCCCCGGCCCCTGTCTGTGGCATCTGTCTCATCCCTGTCATCCGACAGCACCCCTTCTAGGCCGGGCTCTGATGGGTGAGTCGGGCTCAGCTGAGGGGCACGGGCTTGGAGGGGCCAGGGAGAGCCCAGGGTTTGTTTCATCACAACTGAGAGGATGTTTTGAAATCCTCCCAAAGCTGAGACTGTGAGGCTCTACAGTCATGCCAGTATGACTTCCAGGGTCTTGTGAGTTTTTGAGAAAAAATCCTTTGGGTAAGGTTTTCCATGAACTTTAGTATCTCCAGTGAGTGTTCAGCCCTCCTCGGCCTGTCCCAGAAGAGTGTGCTGGTCCCTTCTGGCCACATGCTTGCACTTTTCCATCCCTTGCTTACTGCTGTGGTGTCACACCAATGAAGGACTGTCACAGTGGAGCCCCCTTCCTTCCTGAGGGCTTCCTGGGAGATTCATTTCTGCTCTTGGGCACCCAAAAGCACAAGTGGGCTAGAGGGGACCCTAGGAGACCAGGAAATACTGGCAGAGCTCTCACGAGGTCTCCTGCATCAACAAAGAGCATTCAGAAAGAGCCCTCAGCATTGATCTTTTTTTGTGTTTTTGAGGAGCAAATATGTAAAGTTTGTTCTTTTCTTATTAAACCAAAAGTGTCTCTTGTAATTTAATTATCAGAACAGTTTTACTGTGGAGTCTGCACAGTTGTGCTTGGGCAACCCCATTTGGTTTACGATCCATCGACCTTCAAACCCACAGGCTCCCTCCTGGCCCCTGCGACATGCAGACATGAACGTCCAGGACGCCCCAAGGGACAGCTCAGATCTATGTGTCTTTTGTTGCCAATGACTGATGTGCCTAATGGAGGACTGAAAACTATACCAACATTATTTTTCTTAACAGTAATTTTTTTCGGTGTCTGCCTCTTATAAGGCCAAGTCCATATGGAAATCCTCAATTTAGAGGTATTTAAATCATGCGTGCTTGTCATTTAGCACAAGACTGCTAAAGAAGTTAATTCAGCTTCTCCCCAAGAAAATCCCCAGGCTAGTTATGAAAAGGATTTTATATTTCCAGGAACATGGGATGAGGGTGGAAATTGATCTGGAGGTTTTAGATGGAGGAATATCACATGCGTGAATACATGAGCACGGGCCATGGGCTCCTCCCAGGAGAATTTATTTAACCTTGAACTAACTAGAAGGCATCTTTATTAATAGAGTCCAGATTTTTGTTCATTCTTGGGGTTGCCAACCTTAGCTGTGTATCTAATGTGGAGAAAATGAGACTTTGGTCTCAAATGGCACAGGTTGTGCACAGAATAAGGTTCTATTTGTAGGCAGGTGCTGCTCATAATGTGACAAATTTGAAATGCAACCTGTCTTTCTCTTGGTTCTTTGTGGACATGTGTGGATTTCACAGCTCAGGTCTCTCCCCTAAGCTGAAAGATGTCTACTTTTTCCCCTGTGTTAATTGTCTCAAGCACTACAAACCTAGAATAAAATCATGGAAATTTTTATTGTTGTTTCTAATAGAATATCTGACACATAATGGATATTGATGTATTGGTTATTGTGTATCCAGTTGGAAAAGCCCAGGTGTCCCAAAATGCCTTAATGATCAAAGTTAACACTAGTGTATTATTTCATCAATCATTTTTAAGTTTTTGCTATGGAAACATTTCAGACATACACAAAGGGGACAGAATGTTTTGAGGTCCTGTGCCCATGAGCCAGCCTCAGTTATCAACTCTTAGCCAATCTTATTTCAGGCTCTACCCTACCCTCTCCCAACCCCTTATTATTCTGAAGCAAATTTTGAACATCATGTCATTTCACCCATAAACATAGCAGTGTGAATTTCTAAAAGGTAAATACTTAGAGAAACATAACTGCCTTTACAAAACATACTACCTTTATCATGTGTAAAAAATTAACATTAACAATTCTATATTATCATCAAATATTGGTGTTAATTTCCAATTGTGCCATAAATATCATTTTTAGTTTTCTTGAGACTGAGTTATTGGTTGATACATCTCTATTTCTCTTTTAATCAATAGATTTCTCCTTCTTATCTTTGCTTTTTCTTACAATTTGTCAAAAATTTACATTGCTCATCTGTATCTGAATTTTGCCGATTGCATCCCCTGCAGTGGTGTTTGGTGTGTGTCTCTGTCCTCCACGTTTCCTCCATATTGGCTGTTGCATCTAGAGGCTTGATTAGGTTCAGGCTTGATTTGGGGACAGAATGGCTTTGTAGTTCCTCCACACAGGAGCACATTGTTCCTGCTTATCTCTCGGTGTCATTAGCAGCTACTGACAATCAGTGCCTACATTCAATATCTCTACTGTTAAACAGAATGTGCCTGAACAAATCCTGCTGCACCCTTAGTCATGCAGGGAGAAACGGAAAGTAGGGGACGTGGTTCTTGTTCTCACCAGTCTGTATCTTCAATGCATTTGTAATGAGATTCTTGTGAGCGATCTATCTGAATGATGTCTTCCATGTTACCTCTCCCGTAGTGGAGAGCAAGGTGGCTCTAATGGCTTCTTTGATCAGAGCAGTGGTTTCATTCTAAATGTGCCCATTCACAAATAAGTTTAAAAGAAAGTACAGCTGGGATGAAAATGCAACTGGCTTTTGGAATTAATTTCTCTTGCAATCAATCCCCCCTTGAAGAAGTCAGTTTGTTCTCCATGTGGTCAAGGAGGTCAGGCTTGGAAGGTTGCCTGGAGGACTGGGGCCTCTCAGGGGCAAGCTCTGGGCCTGGCTACCTGTCCAGGCAGCCTGCATCACGGGGGCTGTGGCTGGTCCTGCCCCTGGGCTCGGGGACTACCTGGGTGTCGGGCAGCTAGAGGGCCGGGAGTTGCTGTGAATCCCCTTGGCTTCCTGTTTTGCATCTCCTGGCCATATGGAAATGATGTGTCGACCACAGTTTAAAAGACACGTTTATTAGAAATCAGAGTATAGGTTATTTCTCCTATATATATGACTTTTTTTAAGAGACCATCTCTCTTTTATTTTACTTTTTTATTATGTGTTATACTTTGAAAATATAGGATCCCATAATACCTTGTGTGTGAGTTACACTATAAAGTTTTTAAGACATTTTTATACCTTTCTCTGTGTTGGCCTCTTTCCTAACTCCTTCCTGCTGCAGAGGCTGAAATTCCAATCTTAGAATTGAACCCATTTCTGCCTCTCCTGACATGACCTACCAGGAGAGAAACAGGATGGACTCCTCCCTCAGTGTAATATTAAATCACAAACCACAATTGTATGGAGACGTGTGTGCATTGCTCCTCTTTGATCCGTGCCTTAGAAACTAATCCAAGATCTGTTTACTCAGTAAACTAACCATTAACGTGGTTTTATACCAACTGGTTGGCGCCAGTAGGCAAAAGGGTGTTGACAAATTTCATCTTGAGACTAGTGACATCCAGCCTGTGGTTGGAGGACATGGAGACTCACCAGTGGGTGGCAGAGCTGGGACCCAGGTCCTCCAGCTCCAGCTCCCTTATCTGCTGAAAAACTAAGGGCACGTCCACATACCTCTGACCTGTAATCAGCTTGCAGAATTCTTGTTGAGCCGTCCCAAAGGCCTCCCAGCTGCAGCGGCTGGCGTACCTGTCATCTCAAACTGACTATAGAGACTTGGTCAGACTCAAGATACCAGAAACATATTTGCATCTGCCTATTTCTCCCCATCGTATTTGTGAACACTTCAGTATGAATCTTTAAAAGGCAAGGGCTCCCCTTTTGAAATATACCCCAAATACCTTTCTCCCATCATAAATCTACAGGAATCCCTTAATATCACTATTATAACCCCTTAGATTTCACATTTCATCCCTTGTCCTGCAAAGTGTCCGATTTTTTTCCAGTTTGTTGTTATTGGGTTGCAAGCACAGTCCATCCATTGCAATTGGCTAATGGGTATCTTAACTCTCCTTTGGCCTCCCTCTTAAAATCATTCCTTTTCTGTAAGATGTGGTGGTTCCCAGTCAGCACTCAGATTCGTGGTGAATGTGTTTACACACACCTGCAGGGTGGAAAGCAATTGTTCTCCCAGTCAGACATCAGTGACTTAAACAACCGTTTTCTTCAGGTTTGCTCTGGAGCCTCTCCTGCCAAAGAAAATGCACTCCAGGTCCCAGGACAGGCTGGACAAGGACGACCTAGAGAAGGAGAAGAAGGAGAAGAAGAAGGAAAAAAGGAACAGCAAACATCAGGAGATATTCGATAAGGAATTCAAACCCAGCGATGTTCCCCTGCAGCAGTCCGAGGCCGTGATCCTCTCAGAAACGGTAATTCCGCAGGGGGCCTTCCCCACCGGGTGGCAGCGGCCGGGACCCACTTCGCTCCATGTCTCGTCAACAGGCTGTCAGTTGGGTTTCAGTGAATTTGCTCTAAAGTAGCCACGTGACAATCTGGGGTCTCCTTCAGCCCTCGCCTCGTATGACCCACTGCCGCCAGGCCCCCAGAGCACAGCTAGAGCAGCTTTTCTGCAGGGCCAGCCTGTCTCAGCACCCATGCCCCGTGCGCGTGCGGCTGGGCCAGCCGTCAGCAGGACCACGGATTCCAGGCTCTCTGCACCACTGCTGGACTTGCCTCCAGCACCTCCTGATATCGCAGAAGATGGACAAGGAATGCTTTCGTTGGTAGAACCAAGTATTCCATGTTAACTGAAGCCTCTCCCTCCCCCCTTGCTGACCAGAGTGCTAAGCCGCAGTGACTGCCTGAGTGTTATGCTTGCCTGGAGTCCAGAAGCCCCTTCCCGCTGGGCTCTGCCAGGCACACGGCTCCTGTCATCCCTCCGCCTCATCTGTTGCCCATTTACGTCTCATGCCAGCTTTCAGAAGGAGTTCCAGGGGCTTCACCCAGCATGTGCTGGCTAATTGACATTAGAAACAGCTCCCCAGGAACCTCGTTCATTCCAGAGTCCCCGGCATGTGACAGTGGCAGCAAACACCCCTGTAGCTCATTCTAGTCCCGGGGCTGGGCCTGGGGGGCTGCTGCCGCCAGAAGTGCAGAGTGGTGTCTGCAGTTTGGGGGCAAAATGAGGCACAGCTTCTCGGGTGAACTTTATTCAGAAAGTGCTATTTGTAGACTGGAAACAACATAAAGCGGCAGCTCACACAGGCTGTCAGCTTCTATGGCTAAGTCAGGCCTAGAACCGCTGTCCCCACCCCAGAAAGGGACAGGCATTTGCCAGCCAGTGGCCACAACTGAAGCATTGCTTGATCAAAGGGCTGAGAAGGGGCCACCTTTTAATAAGACATCCTTCCCAGCTTGTTTCTATCTCGAACACCAGAGGATATGTTTCATCCAGACTGTGTGCCACTGGGACCAGCGGCCACATGTTGCTTGGCTGTCTAAAGGAGGAGGGCAGACCTGAGAGCCGTTACATGCCTTCAGGAAGGCAAATGCTCTTCTGAGCCCTTTGGACATGGCATGGACTGCAGCTTCGCTGTTTCACCGCAGCATGAGTGGCCAAGCATGGGGAGGAACTGGCCAGAGGCTTGCGTTAAGTGCCCAGGCGCTGGGGTTAAGGGGTTTCTGATGAACCACCCCTTGTTGTCTGTCTGCTGTTTGGAAACGCTGGGAAGCCTGGGCCCCTGCTGACACTGGCCGAGCTCACCTTCCCTCAAGTCCACATAGAGTCCTCAGGTCATCACACCTGGGTGGGGGAATTAACAGAAACATATTTTGAATATTGACCAAATGCCAGACACTGTAAGACCTTTCGTATATTTTTATTTAAGCTCCATTTTAAGCTAAGAGCCTCGGAGAAGTTAAGCCAAATGGCAGAGCCTATCAGAATTAAGCTGTGTGAAAAGAAGCCAAAGGCCATGCCAGACATTTGGCTGTCACAGCACAAGTTCTATCCCTCCCTCTGTGGCCGTTTGCCTGCAAGGATACCAGCAAAGACAGGCTGAGTTCAGCCAAAATGGGCCTCCCCACAGCCCGTGCACAGTACCCTCAGCAAATCCGCAGGATCACACCAAGGTCAGCGCACAGAACCTTGACCCCCCGTTGGCCTCTGACGAGCCTCAGAACCACGGCTGCAGCCCCAGAGGCCAGGAGTCCTGCCTTCTCCCCAGGGGCAGACTTACCATTCTTGAGCCAGCCCAGCTATCAAGGGGCCTTTTCCTCTAGGTGACAGTGCCAGCAAGGTCTGTGAGTACAGGGCTCACAGGTGTAGAGGCTGTCCTCTGCAAGTACCATGGGCTAGGGGCTTAAATAGCCTGAATGTATTGTTCATAGCTCTGTAGGCCAGAGGTCTGAGATCAAGGTGTCAGCAGGGCCAGCGTCCTTGGAAGCCTGGGAGGGAGGATCCGTTCTTGCCCCAGCCCTGCTCTCTGAAGGTTTACCAGCTTTGGCTTGTGGAAACGTCACCCTGCCCTCTACCTTCATGTTCACACAGCCTTCTCCCCCTGTACACATGTCTGCACCCAGATTTCCCCTTTCTATAGGAACACTGGTCATGCTGGATTAGGACCCCATCCCCACCCCCACTTGCTCGTGACTTCATCTTCAAAGATCTTATTTCCAGATCAGGTCACATTCACAGGTACTGGGGGTTAGGACTTCAACATACTTTTCAGGGGACGGAACTCAGCCCATGACAGATCCTAACAACACTCTTTCTGTCCTTCCAATGTAGATAAGTCCCCTGCGGCCCCAGAGACCAAAAAGCCAGGTGATCAACGTCATCAGCAGTGAAAGGCGTTTCTCAGTGTCCCCATCCCCGTCCTCCCAGACGACGCCCCCTCCGGTCACGCCGAGGGCCAAGCTCAGCTTCAGTCTGCAGCCCAGTAAGTAGGACTTGCTCCGCATGGGGATTCCTGACATCATTCTGTGACATCCCACATGACTGGCGGCTCTGCCGTTAGACTCACTTCCTGTCCTTGAAGCAGACGAGGAGTGCCCCATGAGCCCCCCATTACTAGGTGCCTCCCAGCCTTGGGATTGAGCACATGGGGCCGAGGCACAGTCCTGGGCTTCTCGAGTTCCCTGGTGGAACTTATGGGGCCCCCGACCCAGGGTCTCGGAACCACCTGCCTGCTGGGGGAGGCTGGAGGGGCACACGGGACGCTCCCCGGTTTTGTATCATTTGATGGGGGGCCCCGGGAGGGCCGTGGCCTTCCTGAGTCTGGGAGGACGGTAAGGTGCAGAAGCACTTCCAGCTTTTGGGAAGGGCAAAGGGCAGGGCTTGTTCTTCCAGTTTTCCCCAGTTTCTAGGGCTGCCCTAACATATTTCCACCAACTTGGCAGCTCAAAGCAATAGAAATGTATTCTCTTCCAGCTCCAGGGCCAGAAGTGTGTGAAATGAAGGTGTGGGCAGGGCCGCCTCTGCCCCCCGCCCCCCTCACTCCTTGGCACCCCTCAGCTCGCGGACACCTCTCTCCATTCCCGGCCTCCGTCGGCATGCGGGGCTGTCCTCTGTCCTCTCCCCTTCTGAAAAAGACACCAGTTGTTGGAATTAGGGCCCCCCGTGAATTAGGGGTGAATGAGGTGGTTTTTTCCTTGCTGGAAGGAGAACAGGCAGGATTCTGGGGACTCGGTGGGTGAATCAGGGTTGCAGCCATGGGTGAGCCTAATTGAGTGAGAAAGAGTGTTCTGGGTGCTGGAAGGGACATGGTTTTTCAGTATTATGCCTTCATATCCTTACACGATTACCTCATGATTATTTTCATAAAATTATTTTATCATTATTTTTTAAATAGTTCACATTTTTGCAACTAAACCCCTTTGCTGCTGATGTGGAAAACACTTCGGTAGAACATGACGATCGACGCAGAGTCACCCCAGCAAGTGCGCTCCTGGGCATATCCCCCAAAAATTGAAAACAGGGGCTCAAACAGACACTTGCACGTGAAGGTTCATAGCAATAGTATCGACAGTAGCCAAAGGTGGAAACCACCCAGGTGTCCATCAGCTGATGAGCTGATGAATAAAACACGCTCTGAGGAAATACCCACACAATGGAGTATTAATGCAGCCGTAGAAAGGAATGCAATTCTGATGCATGAAGTAGATGAGAGGTTACCAGGGGCTGGGGGAGGCAGGTATGTCTTTGAAAACTCAGAAGTTCGGAGGTAAGGTGATGGTTGCACATTTGGAATGCAATTAGCGCTACTGATTTGCATGCCTAAAAATGGCAAATGTTACGTTACATGTATTTTGCCACAAAGAAAACAGCTCACCAACCAGCCAGCCATGAGGCCTGCTGTCAGTCAGAAGCCTTCCCCCGGATGCAACGGCGAGGCATCCTCATAAAACTACACGACTCTTCCTAGGAAGCGTTTTCCTGATGAAGGGCTTTTCATCTGATGGGCCATCGGGTAAATGAGACCCATCCAGAAAGACCCATCAGAAAAATGTCAAGTTTCCTCTCTTTAATATTAAAGAAAAAACACATTTTTCCTAAGAGTCTCAACAAGGGCTGAGAAAATATCCATCATCTCAATCATTATGCCTCCATTGGAAAAAGGGCTACTTGCTTGGTTTACTTCAGCTGTACTTTGCCTTGGCTTATTTAAAGCAACAGCCGCAGTGACTGTTGCTGCTAATAACTTCCTTTCACACAATCATGGGGTTTCTGTGGAGAGAGATTTGAAAGGCAGGGGATGTGGGCCGCATTGTTATGCTTCGCTTAGTGACGCTTTCCAGTAACAGCTGCAGGAGGCTGGGTCCAGGGTCCTGGCTGGGCTTTGCAGACACCAGGTGTAAAGGGTCCTTGTGACACCCTGCTGTTCAGACACCACCGAGGCAGAGAGGCTGGAGGAGGGATCAGAAGCGTCTGGGGTTCACACGGCTGTTTTTACAGCATTGATGCCTCCTCTCCACACAGGTGGTAGGTGCCTCCTGGTACTTGTGTGTTCTTTCTAGAATATGCCATTGAGAGGGCATCTGGCCTTCTGAGTTCTCTACCCTTCCCTGCTCGCTTCTCTGGCCTATTGACAAGCAGGGCAAAGTATTTTTGCCTCCCCTGGAGAGCACATGAAGCAGTCACATTGCACGTGGGCTCAGTGGGGACATGGGCGCCATGTTAAATCCTCTCTGTTGCCTAGGTCTGGAGCTGAATGGCATGCCCGGGATGGACGTGGCCGAGGTCCCGCCTCCTCTGCCTCTCAAAGGCAGCATGGCAGACTACGGGAAACTGATGGAGAACCAGGACTTGATGGGCTCACCGGTGCCCCCACCCCCTCCTCCCCACCAGAGGGTAAGTCCATCAGGGATCGGCCACTTGGGTATGTGATTCTTCTCTCCACAAAGGGCAGATCCCGCCTTCCTGGCATTAGGCTGTTTACTCTGGACTGACCAACATTTGACTTTGAGAACAAGGCCAAAGTGATCCGTATGTGGGATCTGCAGTTCCGTTCCATCGCCACCACATAGAGACACATGTCCCCACATGGGCCTCCAAACAAGGGAGAGGGGGAACAAGCTGTGGACAGGGGAACTCCTGACCCCCAAGGCCATTCTGCTGCAGGTGGAAGTCCTGTAAAAGTCTGATTTTGGGGAAGTAGCTTTTCTGAGAAGTGGTTTGTCTGACCGTTTAAAGAAGCTGTCCAAGGTCACACTGTACAGGGCATGCTCCTGTTGGACCCCAACTTGGCCCTTGAGAGGCCCTTCTCCCCCCAGTTCCCCTGGCTGCATCACCCTGGTGCTGACCACTCCCGTGTGGGGAGAGGCACTTGCTGCATGGAGAAACTTGGCTCCAGTTTGGACATACCCCGGGTTCCTGAGGCCACCCAGGCCACCCACCCCTCACTGTGCCTCCAGCCTTGAAACCCCCCCTCCCTGTTAAACTTGGGGTGCTGGCCACCATAAGCATGCACCCCTGCTGGTACCCCCTGAAAACTGTTTTCTTCATTACTCTTGTCTGATGTGCCCACTGCTCCGTGGCCTCTGGGCCGGCCTCCTAATGCAAACACAAGCTTAGAGCCATAAAAGCCATTCAAACCAGTGCCTCTGTGGTTAACAGCTGAAAGTTCTAGAAATGTTCTCTTGAGGTCCACCGCGTTCCTGTCCTGGTGCTCAAGGCTGCTGTCACACAGGGGTCTCTGTTGTTCACCAGCCCGGCCTCATCCAAGTCAGCACGCACCTGGAGGGGCCGTGTGGCATTGCCCCAGCAGTGCCGGGAGGTCGGCTTCCAGGGTCATCCCTCTGCTGGCCACAGGGCTCTTAGCCTTATAAAATAAAGTCAGTACCACCTGAAGAGTAAAGTACCCCTGTCCATCTGTGCAGCTGGTGAGCCTCAGGGAAATGACAAGAGAGCTGCTGTGGAGCACTCCAAGTGCGAGGTCCATATGTGCCCGTGGGTGTTTATCAAGGCGAGCATGCTTTGTCCCCTTAAAAACAATACATACATGCTTTCTCCTATGGCGAGTATTTCACTGAGTGTTCTGCAAGTTTATCATGTCTCGAGAGATGAGAGGAAGGGAGAGGGATTTATTTGCAGTATATGTATTTGATTATTCCTTTTGTGTGAAAAAAAAAACAAGCAGTGGGGTTTCATCTCAGATGGTAAAGGGATACGCGATTCACATCAGCCCTCTGTCCCCAGAAGGGCCACGATGGGGGACTGGCCCTGGAGAAGGGTCCAGGTGCCCTGTGATGGCTTTTTAAGAGGCTGGAATGGCTCATTGCAACTGTAGAAATATTTGCCTGGCCTGCCCCATGGACTTTTAGCTGCAAGTCAGAGCGAAAAGAGACACAATGCGTTGAGTGAGAACAGTGACTGGTTGGGCTGTTGTTTTCCCAGCAGCTTAGTTAATCAATCCCTTCTTTATTTAGTTGGAAAAGCAGGAATACCCCCCAGGGCTCCCTGTACTAGTGAGCTGAAAATTCTGAGCTTGGAAGGATGACTAGATCCCTTTTTATTAATAGGTCAATTCACGGGCAGCATTTTATCGTCTCAGTTCCTTCGATACATTATCCCGTGATCCTGATGTCACACGCTTTTGGTTAAGGCAGGAACTAACCATGCAAAAGCTTCGGCTCCCTTTAAAAAGGGCTGTGAATTCAATTAGATTAATTACCCAAGTCTCTCTGCTGTTTGTTTCTTTTTTGATTTACCTGCAGCATGAAAGCTTGTGCTGGCGGCCTGTATGTGGGTCAGTGGGTCGTGATTAGCTGGGAGCAGGTGTGTTTCCAGGGAGCCTCCCTCTGTGCAGGCCCTGAGAGCTGCTGTAGGATAATGATCATTCATCTGCCATCGGGGGTGACCGATACCCTCCTGTCACTCTCATTGATCGGCCTGGGCTTGTAGTCGACTCTGTCTCTCATTGTTGCCATGGTAAGCTGTCATGTCTTTCAAAATGGCTCTTAGAACTGATGATCTGAGCTGTCATTCTGCTTAATAGTGATAAGCCTGCCCTGCTCATATCTGGCTCAGAGGGCGTCGCTGACATCCTGCTTGCAACTCACTGCGTCAGCCTGGCCCACGAGTGCTCACCCTTGACCTAGTCACTGTGGCTTCCACATGTAAATAACTTTGTTACCAGATCTTGAAATAGGTGTTTCTTTTTAACCATTCTTACCAATCTTAAGAAGACTTATGAGTATATTATTTTACTTCATTTTTTACAATGGACTGTATTTTTGCACATTTATTTTCTCCTGTGTGTTAAGCACTAGGTCATTTAAAATATACTCTCTGTGAACCAGGAGGAAATCTGAGCAAGAGTGCGAGACTGCTGCGTCATGTTCTGTCCTTGATGTCTCTTCTCACATTGAGCTAAATGTGAGCCTCCAGCGAGAGGCTGTTAACCATCCACGCTCACCTTACTTAGACAATAGTTCTCCAGAAGTAATTCATTCTGCCTCATTCCACCTGTGGCCTGCTGCCCCTTCTCCTGGTCTGTTCATTCATTCATCTGTCCCTTCACTTCTTCATCCACTGACTCATTTGTTCACCTGCCCGGTCAGCACGCATTAAATCTGCTGTGTGTCAGGTGTCTGATGGGCACTGGGTGCCCAGAGCAACTGAACATGAGCCCTCTCAGTCATTTACACCCTGGCAGGTCCAGGGAGCAGCATTTTTCTGTCATCTTTGCAGTTGTAAATTCACGATCTTTCTTGGGAATCCAAGGCAAACTGTGGCCCATGGGCATCCAGCCTGATACCTCTTCTTGTAGATAAAGTTTTATTGGGACACAGCTGCACCCATTTCTTTATATTCTGTGTCTTCCTCATGGAGAGTTTAAACAGCCCCCTCACCTCGTTCATTGGCCCCCCTTTGCAGTTTCAGAAGAGACTATGGGTGAAAAGCTACCTCGTAAACAGGTCATTTGGCTACAGGTGCCTGTGGCCCGGCGGACCCTCTCTTACGTGGCCTTTCCAGTTCAGAGAGCAAGGGAGCACCTCTCATCCACCCTGAGGAGCATTTCAAGGACTGTTTGTCCCTGAACAGTTTGGAGGCATCTTCGGGGGCATGAGGAGGGTGCTCACTGACAGCAGCTCAGCTGTGGCACTGCCAGGCTGCCTGGCTGGCCCTGGGTGTGGTTTTGCTCATATCTACTTGTTGTTAAACCTTTAAACTTCCTGGTTCAGAAACTGGTCTGTTTGCAGGGGTCCCTAGGTCAACAGCACCTGGATTTTAAACAACCACACAAAGAGCAGTGGTTATGCTTCTCAGGGGCCATGCAGACCTCTGAGGTGCTTTGTGAAAAGCGATTGCTCAGAGATGCCAGAAAGGCCCTTTGCTGCCTGTAGCCAGCTCAGACCTGCCAGCCCCAGGTCACATGGAGTGGGCAGCCCCCACCCAGGGTATGGATCGACTTGCCCTCAACGCCACCTTGCCAGGTCAGGCCCCACCTGGAGGCTGTTTCCTGCCAGGGCGTGAGTAATGCCACGTCTCTCATATTCTTCTTCCAGCATCTGCCGCCTCCGCTGCCCAGCAAGACACCACCTCCTCCCCCGCCAAAGACAACGCGCAAGCAGACGTCAGTGGACTCTGGGATTGTGCAGTGAGAGCAGCAGGGCCTCCTCGAAAGAGCGAGCTGGCATCTTTCCCCCACCTCCAGACCTTCTTCGTGTCCGGCGTCTGTTTGCCTTATCAGGCCTGTGGTGTCTGACATGTCGTGCAGTTGCTTTTCCTTAGCAGGAGGTCATTTTCAGCCACGGAGTGAGTGGCCTTTCACATGGGAGCCAGGTGAACACAGGTCTGGAAAATACTGTTGTGGGACTCCTGGGGATGTCCTTCCTAAGAGAGCCCAAGTCTTGCTCCAAAGTCCTTTCTGTGCCAAATGACACATTAGCAAAGAGCATGGTTGACCTGAGTGTAGCCTCGTGGGAAAGGTCAGAGAGACCACCGTGTGCAAGGAACCGTATAGTAACTGAGCTTAGCAATCTTCTCTGCTCTCCGGGCCAGACCCTCTGTTTTATCAGACCCTCCTCACTACGACTGGTGGTGTGACTTCGCTGGTTCAGTGTATCTTCAGCCTACATCAGACAATCGAGGTCAGCGCTTTCAGGGAAGTTCCTCATTCCCTTTGGTATTTCTCAGCTACTGAACAGTTACTAATTTATGGAGTGGAAGCACCATTAAAAATACTGGATCAAGTGAAAAAATAAATATGAGTATAGGAAGATACATTTTCTTTCTTTTTAAAAAAAGACTATGTATACCACAGGAGATGGTTTTAATTGCGTGAGTTCTTTTTGTCCTCATTCTGTACAGAAGTTTGTATATATGATGGTTCTTAGAACGTGTTCTAATTCTTGTGGGCCTTCTGTTTATTGTAATAGACGTACGCAAATGATTCTCGATATGTGTTCTTAGTTTTTAACTACTGGAAGTGTAAAGAAATGCAAATTAAGTTTTGTGGGGTTTTTTTTTTTTCAAAACTCAAGTTGATGGACAATGATTTTTTAAAAACTAACTTTGTATAACCTAATATTTTTATTCTGTCATCTATATTTTTTTATTCACTGTCATCATGATACTCTTCTAGTAGGCTCAAAAGTTAATCATTGACAACAAAAAAATAAAAGGCTATTTAAAAAGGCTCAGTGTCTGACACAATATTTATTTATCCCTTGCTATAAAATACAAATCTGCTTCTCTTAATTCTGCTTTTTTAAAGAGCTCTGTGACCCATATTTATGGATGTGCACATCTTCCTCAAACAGCATTCTTAATCACCAGTTTAACTGTCTCTGATTTGGAGCTCAATCGCCAGCACCCATGTCCCTCTGCATGTCTGCTTGTCCTGCAGGATCAGAGCACAGCCGTGTATTTGCTGATGCCCTCTCCCCCACCTGTCCCCGAGATGTCTGGCTGCACATCATTCCCACCTCCTTGTAGCTTTTGAGCTGCTCATGTGCGAGGGGTCTTTGTTGAGTAGGGTGTGTCATTTAACTTGAGAGGCATCAAACTTCAGAGCTTTTCCCTGGATCTTAAGTGGCAAGAAATAAAGAAGGTAGTGGGGTCCTCTGTGGCTATAAATCACACTCACCTGTAATCTGCAGCATACTAGCTGTCCCCTAGTTTATTTGTATTTGTTATAAATATTCATTCCACCTCCAGGAAGTTGTAGGCATATGTGAATATGGAATTTTTTTCTTTATGAGTCCGTACTCTTTCACTGAGATAAATATTCAACATCTGTTAACTATGTTAGAAGCTGGATCTTATCCATGACCCTGAAATGATTGTACTGGTACCCCAAACTGGGAGAGCATAGGAGACACAGTGGATAATTGGGGGGTAGTCAGCATTTCACATTGCATGAGCTTTCCCCCCAAATTGTAAGACTACCAGGCTGTACAGTGGTTGCTTTTATTCTAGAATGGCTTCCGGGTTCCAGTTCTCACATGTATCACAGCCTCCTCCAGGAAGTCCCTGGATAATCCCCATGCTCCATGTTCTGGCTGGATCTCCCCCATGCTCCCCCACACCCTGCTGCTGTGAGTCCCACGCTGGCGTCTAGAGCTGGAAAGTACTTGGCGAACGTTGTGGTTAGGGAGGGAAAACTGGACGCTTTTATACCTTGCAGAAATTTGCAGATATAAATTATAAATAGGCAAATGTATTTACAAAAAGTGAACTTCTCAAACTATGCAGGCACACAAGTTCTTCACCATTTAAATCAAGGGTTCAACTGCAAAACTATAATCAAGGAGGAACTGACCTCTGTGTCAGTTACATTCTTAAGATACTCCTTCTGGAATGAGGTTCAAGGGAGAAAGCTTGCCTTTCTAGATATAATGATGTATTCCTTTCATGCAGAAACTGTTGTTCAACCTATTTCCCATTTTAGACATTTTTTTCCTTATCACTCCCCATAAAGAAATTTTAACACTCCAAATATACTACATACCCAGTTTATGTACTTTGTATCTATCTATGACTTTAACATTGACAAAATGAGATTATTTTGTCTCCCTGAGGACTATTTTTCACTCCCACAGGAGTGATACTGCCTCACTGAGAATGCATACTCTGAAACAGGAAGGGTTAGGGTCTTCTGTTCTATTTTTGCTTTGGTTGCCAGGAAGCTCAAAGCCAAATTTAGCTCCCGCACAATCAGTTAAATTTTGCTTTTATTCTTACCCTTCCCAAACACTTTCTGAGCTATTATAAAACTATCTTTATTTTAACTACCCAGTTTAAAATGTGCTTTTCTCAAATCTTTATTAAAAGAAGATAGTATATAAGCTATATTTGACAAGTGTAGAAATCTTTTTCTTATTTAAAAACAACCCTTGGTGAGTAGAAATTGCTTCCTAGTATTTAAAGGAATTATTTTTTAATCAGTGTTAAAATCACTGTTTCATGTAAAAGATTTGATTTTTTTCCTTTCCTTACAGATTTCATCATCTTTGGCCCTGGATTCTTCTACAACAACAGGCTTTAGGGGTCATGTTCACCCAGGTCTTTGTTGGTATGATGGCTTTTAGCTTTTGCTGTTTAGTTCGGTCTCCATTAATTTTTAGTATTTTACTTACTTTTTTAAGTCTATTGGAGACTTCTACTCTTTTTCTGTTTTTCAAAATATGCCTTTTTCAAATTATTGAAACATACACTGTTCAGTTGGTGATGGCTCCAAAACAGGAAACAGGAAACCCATTGGGTTCCTGCACCCAAATAAGCTGAGATTGGCACTTGCCATTTATCCCTGGGCAGCACAAAGCAACGACTGCTCCATCCAGGTCCTGTGGTGGCCAGGATGTGGGATCCAAGTGCGGGAGGGAATCAGGAACGGTGTGGATGTGTGACACAGCTAAGCTCATTTTGATAATACTGAGAAGTTAGTTTCCGCCCTGGGCAAGGCTTGTGGTGGTTCGTTTTCTGTGTCAGCTTGGCTAAGCTATGGCACCAATTAAACCAACATGAATCTAGGTGTTGCTGAGAAAGCATCTGGTACTGCCTGGGGTTAACATCTACCATCAGTTGACTTGAAGTAAAGGAGATCACCCCTGAGAGTGTGGGTGGGCCTCATCCAGTCAGGTGAAGGTCTTAAGAGCTAGAACTGAGGTTTCCGGCAGAAGAAATTCTGCCATGAGACTGCAATGTGGAAACCCTGCTTGAGTTTCTGCCTGCCCTGCAGATTGTGGACTTGCCAGTGCCCACAATCACATGCACCAGTTCCTTAAATCTCCCAGTCTCTCTGTCTCTGTCTTTCTCCCCCTCTTGGCTGTTTCTGTGAACTGGAGTATAATGAGATATTCCAAACAAAAGAAATTCACATAAAAGACAAGGGGTAAGCCACCACAAACACACTCTACAAGTGGTGTTTTGCCAGAAGGAGGTGACTTAAAGAAACCTGGGTAGAATCCCAGAATCTGTAGACCCCCCAGACAAGCCACTTATTCTCTCCAGGTATAAACTTCTTTATGAGTCAAAATGATAATATGAACTGGCCATGTTGTTACTTGTTTCCTGGGGTGAGTGGGCAGAGAGATGCCCCCAGGCAGGGCCACAGCAAGCCTGAGGCCCTCCCTCCCGTGATGCCAGCTCAGGCAGGAGCAGGTGGATTTCCCAAGGGCTGTGCTGACCTTGAGGGATGGCCTCCCCCTCGGTCCTTCCCCCTGGCACAAACACGACAGATCGTAGCCCTGGCACAAGGTATGCAAGCTGGCATACGCCTCTGGAGAAAACTGCTGAGGAGATGACCAGGAATCCAGAAACCATTCAGGGACAGGCTTCATCTCAGGGCCTGACTCTCAGCTGCTAACGCAGGAGGGAGTGAAAATAATCAGTTTGGGAACAGGAATATTTCTGAATTAGCATAAATTATACTACTTGAAATACTTGTTAACAGTTAATTTAGCATTATGAACACTTGTGTTGGAGAGGAGGGTACCTAACAGCGACTGGGGAGCTACCTAGAAAAGGCCGGGCTATTTTAAGCTCTTACATATTTTTGGATTCCCTGTCGGGAACATAGACGACATCCGTGGGCTTTCACTGCTTTGTGAAAGCTTTATGTGAAAAATAAACTTTGGTGGCAAAGCTATTATACCCGGAAAGCAGCCTCAGAATCTTCTCTCTGTTTCTCAGGAAAGTTAGTGAAACGAGCATTTCCTGACAGAAAGGAGGACCGTGTGATTTTAGCCCTGGCATGAAGAGGCCACCGCTTCCTCCCTTCGGACGGCCTCCAGAGGAGGTATGGTGGGCAGCGGGGCCTGCGGCTGCGGCTTTTCTTCTTTTGAACATCCCTTAGATGATGCCATTCCACGTGGGGGAACACCAGGAAGGAGATACAGAGACTGAAGGCAGAAACTCTGCCATCCTCAGGTACCTGGGTCCTTGCTGAGACAAGAGGTTTGTCCCCAGTTATGGGGGGCATTCGATGATTTGGGAATCATTCCGGGCCCAGCTCCTGGCAGCTCAGGCTCAGGGGTTGTGCCAGCAGAGATGACATAGGACATCTAGAGCCTGCCTCCCTTGGAAGGCATCCTCGAACTCTTGAACCTGTGGTGCCAGTGGGGATGATCCTCCTGCCTAGCTTTGCCATTAGAGGTAAAGGAAATGGGGGTCGCACAACTGGAAGAGACTTGTGTTTTGGAAAAGCAGAAAACACATCCTAGAATTTTGTCTAGGGAAAGACCCTTCAGCTTCCACGATGCCAAGTCCTCATTTTGAGGTTCTTCACTCAGCAGAATACTTAATGTGAGGTTGGCAGGCGCAAGGCAGCGACTGAGGCACAGAATGGTCATGTCACTTAACACCACACAGCTGGTTTTTTATTTGATAACGTTTTAAAAGCTCACTTTGGATTAGAAATGGACAGTTTAGATGAGTCTTTTATTTTTCTTAAGGCTCCCAGCCCTCCCAAACTGGTGTTAAGCACAACTCCGTATTACCGATCAGCAGCACATTGAGCAGCTTTGATTTCCTCTCCAGGAGCAGGACAGAGCAGCCTGGGGGCTGCCACCGGTGCTCTGAGGCAGCGACGCTGTTCCCGGGGTGGGTGTTCATGCTACAGCTCCTTCCCTACTTGGGTGGCTATTAATCATTCAAATTATTATCCTGCTAATAATTTGGGTAGCAATTATTTCCCATCACCTCTCATGGATACATGTTGAAACAAGGGAAGACCGCCCGTGCAGCTGTGGTCCGGTTCTTTCGCAGGCCGGGCAATGCTTGCGTTTGCTCTTGAAAGGGGGCATCCAGAGTGGGTCTTCACGCTGTGGCCAGAGCCCCAGGGGAGGCAGTCTTTGGGAAAGCAGATTCAAAGAAACATTTGGATGGAAAAAAACTGAAACCAGTGGTCTTGCAGAAATCCACTAAATGTAAGGGGAGGGGAGAAGCCACAGGTTTTCCAAAGCCCTACCAACGGCTCAGAACCCCCTTCCCCATCCCCGTGCCCGGTGCTCTGTCCCCACCCCCAGCCCCCGCTGCAGCCCTCTGGGAAAGCTTGGGTCCCCTTGTTCCGAAGCGCCTAACTAGGCCAGGCAGTTCTACTGCTAATGGTCTCCTCCTCCCAGGTCTCAGCTCCGTCAGCCTCCGTGACGCCCACGAGCTGTCTGGACTCTTCTCTGGTGGGCATGGGGTAGCTCG